ATCTGGCATCGGAGTCAGATCTTACCAGGAAAGGGCGTTACGATGCACAGTGGTCGGATCTGGCCGATAGGGCCCATACGGCCTTTTTCCAGCCAGATCGACCACGGATGTGGCTGGAAAAGGCTAGACAATCCACCAGAACTAGCCGTAGACGAATGGAGAAGTCCAGATTTTGCCATCTTTGACAGCCAAATATATGGCTGTCGTTGTCGGTCAAAGAGGCCAACATTGGCCGTCGTTGCCGTCAAAGTGACATTTCATTGAAAGTCCATAACGGCAGATGTGACCTTTTCCGGCCACATCCAGTGGATCTGATCGAAAAGGTCACAACTGGCCATTACTAGCCATTTTCGATCGTTTGTACTGTCGGCAGTAGCCAGAATCTGGGAAGTTGGGTGGGTGGGGGTGTTTTTGTTAATTTTTAAACTTTTGGTATTATAAAATTAATTCACTTAATGGGTCGAAAATTAATTAAAATATACTAATATTTCGTAAATATAAGCAAACAAATATAAAAATATACTGAACGAATCTAAACCCCATATGTTTAGTATAGCCGTAAACAGGTGCTCTGAACGAATCGTAAACCCTATAGGTTTCATACTGACGTGTAAAAGAACTATATGTTTAATATAAATGTAAAACAAAACAGCTACTCTGAACGAATTGTAAACCCTAGGCTTCATACTGACGTGTAAAAGAACTGTATGTTTAATATAAATGTAATAACGGAACAGGTGCTCTGAACGAATCGTAAACCCTATAGGTTTCATACTGACATGTTAAAGAACTGTATGTTTAATATAAATGTAATAACGAAACAGGTGCTCTGAACGAATCGAAACCCTATAGGTTTCATACTGACGTGTAAAGAAAAGTATGTTTAATATAATGTAATAACAGAACAGGTGTGAAAAATCGTAAACCTTATAGGTTTCATACTGACGTGGTTAATATAAATGTAATAACGGAACAAGGTGCTCTGAACGAATCGTAAACCCTATAGGTTTCATACTGCGTGTAAAAGAAATGTATGTTTAATATAAATGTAATAACGGAACAGGTGCTTTGAACGAATCGTAAACCCTATAGGTTTCATACTGACGTGTAAAAGAACTGATGTTAATATAAATGTAATAACAGAACAGGTGCTCTGAACGAATCGTAAACCCTATAGGTTTCATACTGACGTGTAAAGAAACTGTAGTTTAATATAAATGTAATAACGGAACAGGTGCTCTGAACGAATCGTAAATCCTATAGGTTTCATACTGACGTGTAAAAGAACTATATGTTTAAATAAATGTAATAACGGAACAGGTACTCTGAACGAATCGTAAACCATAGGTTTCATACGACGTGTAAAAGAATTGTATGTTTAATATAGTTCTTTTACACGTCAGTTTAGATTGCATCGTAAGCGATTTTTCCTAAAGACACATAGTCGCTTAAGTGATTATGATCGCTTAAGCGATCTTCCTAAAAGACACATGGTCGCTTAAGCGACCACTTATATCGCTTAAGCGATTCCCCTAAAAGACACATGGTCGCTTAAGCGATTATGATCGCTTAAGCGATCTTTTCCGAGGCAGAATGACATCTGCCTAGACTATGGTCGCTTAAGGACCCACTTATATCGCTTAAGCGATTCTTCCTAAAAGACACATGATCGCTTAAGCGATTTATGATCGCTTAAGCGATCTTTTCCGAGGTAGAATGACATCTGCCCAGACTATGATCGCTTAAGCGACACACTTGTATCGCTTAAGCGATCTCCTAAAGACACATGTACTTAAGCGGATTTATGACGCTTAAGCGATCTTTTCTGAGGCAGAATGACTCTGTCAGACTATGATCGCTTAAGCGACCCATTTATATCGCTTAAGCGATTCTTCCTAAAATGACATATGCCCACACCTTGGTCGCTTAAGCGATTTAGATGCTTAAGCGATCATTTTTGGAAAAGTCTTGGTCGTTTAAGAGAGATATGTGGACAAACAAAAATATCTTAATGGACACACCATATATAGTAAATTGAAACTGCTGATGAATTATTATATGGACAAACAAAAATATATCACAAATATCAGATCCAATTCTTTACAATGATCACACCTAACATAGTAAATATTTACAATTTCCTGTACAGCCTTTAATTTAGTTTTTGATGCCAAGAGTTTAGAGTCCACAGTGAGGTATCAGGGCAGTCCATGCTTGAAAAGATGCCCACGACATCATTCTTCCCAATGCTTTCGGCTCTGTACTAGCATTCAACAAATTCAAGAGATATCTACAAGGACGGTAATATGGGGCCTCCGTTGACTTCTGGGGGATTGACCATTCCATCTTTCAAACTACAAGTCAAAAAACTCAGTGTTAGCAGCTGAAGTTATATGGTTTAGAATAAATACAATCAACTCAAAAAACAAGTATGAACATCAACATCACATAAACTACAAAATTCAGCGTCCAACATTCATACCCTTTGATTGGGTCTGGTCACTCAAAACGGATCTATCAGCCCATGGAAGCAGTGACAGCCCAGCGCTCCCGACAATCTCTCATTGTTTCGTCATTCAAGCTGTCCATCGGGCTATTGGCCATGTCGAACTGAATAAATTTCAGGGCATATGCCCCACATTCAGCGCTACAATAGGAAGAAGACATTAGCATTATAATAAAAACTTATAGAACAATTGTATTATGTAAGTTAATTTTAAACAAAATTTACCTTGACTCATTTATTGGGCAGGTAGAGCGCTGAATTGGCCACTTTCGCTTAGTACCTGATCACCGAAGTGCCCAACATTCACTGTCACGTAACACGCGGGGAACAACTGGACAGTGGGTCCAACTCGACTCCAACTGTTGTCTCGACAAATGGTGGGTTGAGTCAAGGATCTTCAGAAACCCCTCCTCTAGATGCGCAACGACTGCTATCCAGTGCATCTGTTTGATGAGGATGATGCAATAAACTCTTTTAGCAAAGGCCCAACCGTGGCCATATTGGGCGATCCCCCTTTACGTACTGCATATCCTGTCATCAAAACGGAAATCATCAGGGAGCAGTCGACTGTGTGGGGCTAATCGTTTTCGCTTCGGGCCTTTACTACACCACTAGCAACGATATTTTTAATTAAAGTGCGATATGCCGAAACAGCGTTTGCCAAACGCCACATCGGTGATAGTACAGTCAGGATACAACAGATCACCATCATAGTCTATCGTAGCCTCATCAGTGCTAATATCTCATCGAGTGCTGCATCAAATAAAAACACAAGATAAGTATGGAAAACACAGGCAAAAATAAGGAAAATTAAGTGAAAATAACTCACCGAGTCCTAAGCCACGTCCCCATCGTCAACAACTTCTGAAACCATCCCGGGGATAATCCCTGTCTTACACTTTATATGGCCATCACTTTGATTCATTGTAATAGGCATAAAGAGTTTTTCTTTTCCTCTATTAGCTTATACAAATCGACATTTGGTCCAATTTCCCTTCCCCACTTCCTCCCCCTTCCTCCATTTTTACACCCCGCTTCCTTCGCCTCCCACCTCCCCCTCCTCCATTATCACCGCCCCACTTCCACCACCAACCTTCTCCATTTCTGGTTGTTCCCATTTGTTTCTTCATTTCTTTCCTTTACCTGTGTCACTTCCATGTAAGGCGATTTCACAACTTGCTCTTTCGGCTCTCTCTTTTCAAGCCAGTTTGCACTTCAACCGCCTAATTCCACTAAGTTCCTCCTATTGTACCAACTTCGCCCTCCATTGTACCTACTTTCTCTCCCAACTTATCCACTTTCTCCTCCACCCTTTTCATTGTTTCTTCCTGTGCAAACCTTGTATAAACAGTTGTTGTAAAACTCTCAAACAGGCCGTTTATGAGGTCAACAACCTCATTCTCCCCACGTCGATGTCTCGGCAAAGCGGTACTTGTTGTACCGGTTTGCTGAGGCATACGAACCTTCCTCCCTCTTCTCTCTCATCCTCGGCCCCCCGAGCTTCATTATCCCAACATCAAACATTGTCAAGCAATGGCCCTGCAACTGCCATACATGCGTGACACCTTTTAGGTCCCGCATCAGGCGGTCTATCTGTTCATCCCTTTCATCCTCCATTGCTTTGAAAGATGTGAAATAGTCCTCTTCCGCTCATCCCCAATAGCGGTCAGAAAGGGACGAACGACTCCCTGCAATAAGAAATAAAAATCAATCAGATTGAAGTAAAATAAAAAAGCAACTGCATATTCAAAAGCTTAACTTCAATCTTACCCCAGCTGTTGATCTCAATCTCTAATTGGCCATAACCCAATGGTTACAGCTCTCGACATGCCACCGCAACATCCTAGGAAATTGCTGTTGGACATTCAAATTGTTGCTCCTCCCTTAGCGAAGACAGGGATGGCCTCGTACATCCAAGCCTACGTTGTAAAAAAAAGTCCATGTCATTATCAAATACGCATATATAAAAAATATAACAAAGAGCTATTAATATTTACCTGCATTGCCCATGGGAAGCCAAACAAATTATACGTGCTTGGTTTAGCCTTCCCACCCCATTCGGCATGCTTTAACGCCATGTCTGGTTTTTTCAGGCCCTTGATGGTTCGCTCAAATGATATCCATCCCACGGATAAGAATTAAAGAACTCCAAGTCACTTACAACAACAACCAATCTTTCTCAACAGCTTTGTTGAGTCAGCCCATAAGATAGAATGTAAAAACAATATCAAGCAAACTTTATCTTCTCTGCATCACTAAACCGAACTATATATAGCCTCTTCTCTAAAACTTTTCCTGTAATAGACTTTGCCCCTTTCAAAACCTTTTTACAAAAGTTTATGGTCCCGCACTCGTCCTTTTTGCGTCTGCCTCTGCTTAGTTGGCACTTTCAGCGTCCTAAGCCCGTCACCAACGCATACTCTATCATACCAAACCGTAGTGGCTTTCCCTCCCACGAACCACATTTCATTTTTGTTGCATTTTACTGAGTGCATCAAAGTAATGCATCCCTGCCCCAAAATGACTTTTTCCACTTTGTCCGATTCTTAAAACTGACGAAACAAGTGTCACCAAAATCTCTTTCACCATGCCTCATTCTAGCTAAAATGGCCCTTATTCTGTCAAAAACCTCCCAGCTCGACCTCACCGTCACCCTTGCAGGGAAGTAGGGTACCTTCTCACTTATAGGCTCCAACTCGTACTCTCTACAGTTTACGGTCCGCATAATCTTCACAATCGATATAAATAAAATGTCATCAACAAAAATAAACCAAAACCACTGTAGTCGCTTAAGCGATCTTGGATCGCTTAAGAGATCTTTACTCTGCCTCATGCAAGATCGCTTAAGCGACCAAGAGTTAACTAAGAATCTCTTAAGCGATACAACAGATCGCTTATTATATCTGTGATTCTGCCAGACCTAAGATCGCTTAAGCGACCAAGAGTAAACACTCATGATCGCTTAAGCGATCTTAGGTCTGGGCAGAATCATCTGCCCAGATCTCAGATCGCTTAAGAGATCCTTTTTATCGCTTAAGCGATCATGACTGCGATCACGAGTAAAACAGAATAATCGCTTAAGTGATACAAATGATCGCTTAAGCGAAAGTATAAGCAATATTCCCAAACTACGTACCCTATCTTCGCCGGCCTCCTCCTCGTCGCCTGGATCCTCCGACGACTCCTTCTGGCCTGAATTCTCATCGGAATCCTCCTCCTGGCCTGAATTCTCGCCTGACTCCTCGTCTTTAGACCCGTTTGCTGGTTCTTCCCTCTGTTCTTGTGCCGCCGGCGTCTCCTCTGCGTGTGGACCACCTTCATTGGTCAGATGATCCACCGGAGTAGCCATTGAACTGCTTGCGCCACCAGAATCTAGGATTCGAAGTGGCGTTGGGCTTCCCTCCTCATTATCAGTGTCACTCATGGTTTTGGATTGAATTTGGTGTCAAAGTTTGCAGTTTTGATCGGAAATGTGGACTGTATCGTCGAAAATGGCACAGATTTCGTTTACGGTTAAGGAAATCGATTTTAGGGTTCAACAAATCGATCGAAAATCGCGACTATATCATTGAAAATCGCGCCTATATTCGGTTTAGGGTTCAAGAAATTGATTTAGGGTGCAAATTTGCAGATGTTCGATCGGAAAAATCGCGTCTCCCTTTCGTTCAAGAAATCGCTTTTTGAACTGATGAATTTCGATTAAGCGAGGTGAATAGTTAGTGGGGCTTGTTTTGCGAAATTTCAAATTTTAAAAACTTTCATTATTTCTGATTCGTTCTACATATGTTTTAATCTTTTCATTTTAACCCATTTTACGTGTTTAATTAATCCTAACTATGCCACGTCATCTTCTCTAAATTAAAAAAAAAATGATGAACAGTTTCAAGGCCATTTTCTTAAATCCAAACTTGGGATGACCGGGTAGCTAAATTTTCTCGGAAGACCTGGAGAACAAGAGATGAAAATCAGGAGGAAGCCAAGAGGGAATTCGTTAAAATCCTGAACAGATTGGAAGATGAGCTTGGAGGAAAGCCATTCTTTGGAGGTGAAACCTTGGGTTTTGTGGATATTTGTTTGGTTCCTCACTACTGCTATCTTCACACATATGAGATTTTGTCTGGCTTGAGCATTGAAAAAGAGCGCCCCAAATACATGGCGTGGGTTAAGAGATGTTTGCAGAAAGAGAGTATTTCGAAGACATTTCCTGATCGGAAGAATGCACTTGGATTACACACAAAGATGAGGAGGAGGCGAAGGAGGGAGTTTTTATATTTTAGGGTTTCTTTTTAATTTTTAATCCCCAAATCCAATTCGACTTTTACATAATTTGAATATGGGTGGATTTACAATTTTAAAAACTATAAAACTTTTATGACTCCCTCTTAGTTTCAAAACCATCAAATGCACCTTCGAGCTCGCTGAAGCTCACAAGCTTTTTGAGCCGATTAGCATTGTGTTAAAACTCAGCTCGACATTGTAATTGAGCCAAGTTGAGCATTTAATTAGCCGAGCGTGAGTGGCTTGACTCGACTTTCAACCCTAATTAAAAGATATCATTATAAAAATAAAACTAAATTTTGTTCGTGTACGTTATACAATGTGAGGAGAAAAAGAATAAAGTTAATATGTATCCTGGTTTGAGAAAGACAAAAATTAATAAGGTATAAAATTAAAAGCTGACTTACCTATTATTGTTGTTATGTAAGATATAGTTATTTATTGGCTAGTGTAACACCTCTATTCAGTTGTTTGCAGAAGACAAAATAATATATATATGAATTAAGTATCACGTGGAGTATTCATTAAAAATTAATAAGGATATTCCTTAATTTTTTTTTTTTTTTTTTTAATAATTGCGAAATGCTTGAAAAAGAAATACATACATGTTAGTACAATTTAGATTAGCTTTAAGTAAATCCAGATTAGTGTACAGTTGGCAAGCTCAATCAAGACTTACAGCTCAGTTTTGTCAAAATATATATCATAATTTATTAATAATATTGAGCACAATTAGAACTGATCAACTTGAACGTCAATTATTTTTTTACGGAAATAAGTACATTCGAGAAATAATTAAAGGGTATATATAGTTTGTGTTAAATTTCGATGTGTTATACTAGTTCTGTAGTCAGTATTTTGTCAGGTTACTTTATCTGTGAACTTGAGTCAAATTTATGTCAGCATATTAGGACATGTCATGTGCAAGGTTTTAAAACCCGGCTTGGGGTGAAACCTGACATAGTGATCGGCTTCCAGGTTAACCGATCAAACTGGTTTGACCGATAGGTCAAACTAGTGATGTCAGCATGTTCAAAAGTTTAAAATCTAGCAAAAACACTCCTAATAATTACATAAGTCCTTACAAGTTTGAAATCCTGCAAAAACATCCCAAATGCATGTGGATCGTTAGCTTCAACAACCCAAGGCAAATACGGCTTGTTTTCGGTGTCAACAACACTCTCCATCACCACGAAAACACTCATCTCAACCTCCTAACTAAAACCCATCTCACCCCACCCCACCCCCATTTGCCTCACCAATTGCTAGCAACAGCCCACTATTGTGGTTGCGTGAATTTTGCTATTTTCAGTCGTTTCATTTATCGATAATCACTTCCTTCACCACCTTTGGACTCATTGGCCCTTCTACTGTAAATTGATAAGCGGCCCGATGAAGGCTCTGAGTCCCTGTTGAACCGATTGAACCAGTTGGTCGAGTCGAGTTTTAAAACACACATAACGTGTACTAACTTTGTAAAGAGAGTGACAAATCTAAACTGAAAAAAATCAGAGAACCATCGAAAATCAATTAAAAATTCAATTAAGAATTCAACAAACAAAGTTGAATCTTTCTCAAGTTTTTTCTACTCTCATCTATTTATTTATTCGTACAGTACTCAATCACACAAGACCCACTAAGATTATTAATCTGAGCCTCCACTCACAAAAACTATCAATTAATCTTGGGAGCTGAATCTACAGCCAATAGTTTGAAAGGAAAAGCTAAAATATTTGGTTCATATTCAGATAGACAATATTTCAACTTTATCATAGATTTACACTGCTTAAATATATAGAGACCTAGAATGGTATGTTGAACAGAATATGTCTTTCAGCAGGGGATATTTTAGCAGAACAAAAAGAGTGACTGGTACAGATGCAAGCACAGTAGTAAGCATGGTAACCCAATTTAACCTATCATGATAAGCTAAGAATAAGGTGGTGCTGAAAGTCACCATCATGGTTATCATGGATATGAAAAGAGTTGAGAGTCCAACCATCAACTTAAGTGGTAATGACCTAAGAAAATCATTTTCTATATAACGCGATGTAAGAATAGATAAAAACATCAGGATTGAGATGGAAGAAGAGGATAATGCGATTGCATCTAACAAAGCAAAAACTTGAAATAGGGTGTCTCTCAGACGAATAGGTATTCCTGTACTATTATCATTACCACCTGGCACACTAAGAGCTGTTGCGAACATGATAGTGGTAATGAGTGTTGCAACAAGCATACATGACTCAGCCGTCTTTTTCATCCACAATTCTCCACTTCTCAGTAATATTTCATGCTCTTCACTAAATATCTCTTGTGGTGTTTTGCTTTCTGAATTCTTCTTTTCTCTAAATGAAGGCTGCACTATCTGTCCAACCTCCTGTGATCACTAATAAAATCTCATATTTTGAAACATGACAATTAAATTGGAGAATAGTAGGGAGAATTAAGAGTTTTACCTTAAACCATAACAATTCTTTTTGCATTTGAAGAGCTGCACCTGATACGTTAGTAACTTGACTTGCATGTGGATATTTTGCAGCTAAATGCAATATGTTATTCTGCTTATTATCTTCAAAGGTCACCATCAACTCCTTGGCGAAAGCTGTATGATATATTAGCTTGAATATCTTGGCATGACGATGCAAGACTGCCACATGAAATATGGTGTGATTATTGTTATCTAATTCATAAGCCAAATCAGGATAATAGCCAATGAGTTCAGCCAAGAATTCGAAGTTCCCCAATTTAGCTGCATCAAACGATAATTGTGAAGGTTTTCCTAGTAGGCTTGTAAGCTCCAAGTCATCTCGTTTTAATATTTCTTCCCAAAGACAGCTGACAAGTTGAAGAGCTTGATTGGACTTCGAGTCCTTCTTGTGAGTCATGATCTTCATTCCTGGGACTAAAATTAAGAAAATAAATACTATTACATGAGTATAGTTTAATTACACAATTATCCATGAAAATCTTACACGAACTGATAAGCCCCTCCAGTAGTCCTCGATCTTTCCTAGCAAATGTTGAAGGCATCCGGGCCAAAACATGCAAGGCTGTATCACAATTCATGTCACGAACCACAGCAAGTTCCGGATGATCCTTTAGCAAATTCAACGCAAGATCTGAAAAAAAATTCATCCAAATTTTTTAAGCACAGCTGCTAGTTCTTAACATCCTATAAATATTAAATATTAGTATGGAATTTGAAGTACTAAACTACTTACCATAAAAACCAGTTCTGATGTAAGTTAAAAATATTGCCTTTCGGTCCTCTACTGTCAATGCCTTTTTAGTGTCATCTTTACCGTATAAAAAAGATGCCATGTCTCGTTGTGCAAACAGTGCGGCCATGTAGAGTGGTGTCACATTTTCAGCGCCTCGGATTGTCATGAGACTTGAATTCTTTGTTAAAATTATCTTAGCAATTTCCACCACTCCAGCTGCAGCTGCAAAACAAAACGCAGTGTTCCCATTTTTGTCTTTCAACGATAATTCTTCTTGTTCCATCCGGTTTACTAATTCCTTGATAAAGTTAGTTTTTTTTTGCTGCTGTTGCAATATGAAGAACAGTTTGGTTTCCTGTTGTTATACTGGCAGATAAGATTGATCGAGGCCCTTGTTCTAACAAATATTTAGCAGTTTCCCAGTCGCCTTTTAAGGCAGCTTTATGAAGCTCTAAACATGTTTTCAGCTGAAGGCTTCCTTTTTCTCCTATGTAAATTAATAAAACAATGAGAAAAAAATTTTGAAAAAAAATTCTCTTCAAAGATCTAGGTGGTTAGCATGGAAAAAGAGAGAGATAGCTCACTAGATTGAGTTGAACTACCATTCATGATCTCATTTGGAGCTTGTGGCGCTTCTGTAGAATCAATATTGATTTGTGCCATTTCAATTATAGCATCTTGTGGATCAGGAATTGAATTAACATCTGTTGTCGCCATTACTGTGCTTATAATAATAATAACCCTTTGGGTGACCAATCGAGGTATTGTTGGTGAGAAATAATAGAATTAAGCTATCAACCTGAAAAGACTTGGTTAATTAACAGCTGAGATTAGCACTTGTTCACATGCACTGCACTGTGTTTTGGTATATATAGTCAATAGGAAATTAATAGATTAATTATTTTAAAATGGATTAGATTCTTGTTCATGCACCAGAAATGGATAATTAATTTTAATAGTTATTTACTGACCGCGTTGTAAAATTGAGAAAGTGCCAGGAAGGTTTCCACAACTTCTCACGGTGATTATATAAATAATGAAGTGATACACTAATGACTAAAGTTTAAAAGACTTCAAATAATTAATTAATTAATAATCGTAATAAACTGATCACTTCCTTAAGGTTTAACCAACCATATCAAATCATTGAGATCCAAGAGAAGATCGATAATTAAGAAATTATAATTATTATACAAAGTTCATTCCCAGACAGTGACCTAATTTCGCACTCCGGGCAGCTTGGAATTGAAAAATATTTCTCAATAAACTTTATAAAATTTGGTGAAGGGTTTCTTTAAGGAGTAAAGATGATAACGACAAGGACACAGGCGGCGCCTGTAGAAAATTTTCTTCCTCTCGACACTCAATGAGAGGATTCTTTCGGCGTTTTAAAGTTGTGGCGGCCTAGCAATTATTTTTTTTCTAACTCTAATGCAAATAAAAGGAATCTATGATAATCTCTCTTAACTTTTTTGAAGTTGGGTGTTTATTATTGGACTTTTTTTATTTTTTTTTATTTTTATCATAACTGAAGATTTAGGCAGATTTGTATTCATTTTTTTAGTTTTTATTGTGACTTGTGGAGTGTTTGGTTAATGAGAAAGTCCAAAAGGTGCTGAAAGCAAATCAAAGAATTATAAAGATTATTCTTCAGAGATATCCGGAGCTGAAACTTTTGTTATTATAACTGATAACTAGATTACATCAGGTGGCCTTCAAGTAGGCTGTGATCATTGAAGGGCAATTGCGAGAAGTCTTTCTCTTCGTATAAATTTACTAATATTGGCAGCCATGTGAAGAAAAGTAAGGATGGAATCTGAATATTTTATTGGGTCCTCTCCGGCTAAAAGAATTGGCACGTTTGGCCTTCAAACGACTAGTCTTTTCATGGATTGATCATATGTATATTTTCTTGGTTCTATGTTGCTATGACATTTAACTATCCTAACTCAAACTATCTCGTGCTACAATGGCTTCAAAAGTCATGAACGAAAGCATGCTTAATTAACCATTGGAGAAAAAAGACTTCAACTAAAATAGGCTACACCTTCCTTTTGTAAAGGTTTCATCTCCTCTTTAATGGCAAGCTTTTTCCTTGAAATTACTGATAGTTTTCTATTAATCAAAAGCAAATAATTTTTTTCAAAAATTGATGTCTTATACTTGCCTTCTTTAACTTATTTTCAACAGAAATTAAAACTTGATATGAAAAAGAATTTTTTTTTTTTTTTTTTTTCTAGTGTGATTAATTAAATTTCCTTTTGATGATCTTGGAAGCTTGGGCATGGTTGAGACTGGATTATGTAAAAAGTTCTGTCTCGAGCAGCGTAGCCCAAGGTATCAAGATCTGTAACATATCCTTCTACGCCTACTAGGCCCAACCAAACCCCAATCCAAGTAAAAATTAATATTCACCTTTTAATGTAATTATTTTTAATACTAATTAAAAATTTTCTAAATAATTCGGTTGCATCAAATCAATAGCTAATAAGATAAACCAAACTAATTAAGGAAATGAAGAGGCGTCAATTTACCAACTAGTCGCCCGATGCTTGTTGTTGGGATCAGGTAAGCAAATAGGGTAATAGTGAGTCTTAATTTTGACCAAACTATGATGATATAAACCGTTTAACAATTGAAAATTTGAGTCAAATCTCCCCTTATCTTCCTGTTTTCATATTACAGTTTTATAAACATAATCTTCCACTGTGGGAACATTGATTGTATTTATTTCTATATATTTGAGAGATCTTCGTCTTAACCATTGTTCCCAAAGTATTTGATTTCACACATAATTAACTTATTATATATGCCAGTAGTTAATAGCATTAATTTATAGAAGTAAACGACTTTTTACCACCCAAGGTTTGCCTTAATGACACTTTTCCACCCAAAAGATTTCAAAATATCATTTTCCCACCCAAAGTTTATATTCCATTAATACTTAAAATACACTTCACCTTTTTAGCTGGCGTTCGGTGAGTTATCAGGAGTCAGAGTAAGAGGGGTTTTGTAGTGTAGAGGTCGGTGGATCAAATGGTAGTGACCGATTGAATATTCGAAACTAAAATCATTAAAAAATCAACTAAGAATAGGAAACCCTAACTTTACGGTGGCCAACAATGAGAGAGAAATCAAATGCCGAAACGAGAGTGGTTTTGTAAAGAGGATATCGGAGATTCAAATTGTAAGATATCGGAGGTTCAAATGGTGATAACTAGGAATTTTCATCGCCAAAATCAGCTTTGAGTAATAACAAAATATTAACTTTGGGTGGAAAAGTGATATTTTAAAATTTTTTGGGTGAGAAAATGTCATTAAGGCAAACCTTGGGTGGGAAAAAGTCTTTTACTCTAATTTATAGAGGTAAACGAAACTTATCTAAGAAATTCCCACACGGTTCCCTTATTGCTCCAAAGTCAACTCTGATAATCTCTAATATAAAATCAGTAGATCATTATTTCGTAACTCTCAACTTAAAGGGAGATTAATGCTTTCATAAAAGGAAAAAAGAAATGAATTAAGAAACAAAATCTCGTTATTATAAAAAGACACAAAATCTATGAATAATATTTTGGCCACCTAATTTAGTCCTCAAATTTTGTTTTTTTATTTTTTATTTTGCGAGTATTTTTTGTTCTATTTTAAGTTGTTTTCCTTGTATCAAAATCGGAATGGATAGACTTTAACACTGTTAAGTTCTTTTTTTTTTTTTTTTTTTTAACAAATGAAATTTATTTTAATTTTCTTTTTAATTTTTTTTCTGCTAAATGATAATACGTTTATATATTTTGATATTGTCATTTTCAAGTTCTTCAACTACTAAATTGGACTCATTAAGCTCATCAAGATATGTAATGGGAGTACTGTCAACTGCCAGCTTTGTGTGAACAAGAGAAGTAATAGGAGCTTGAACTCCCAAATTTGACCCAGCACCAGCATTCGCTTTGCGGAAGTAAATTAAAATTTGGAGTTGAATAAACGTAGTTGTTTATAGTGTACAGTCCTAGACCAACCTTAGAAAATAACTCTTTTTCTTCATATCTGGGACTTCCGCCATTAATGATATCGTAAATAGCTTGAACTCTTTCACCATAATGTTCCCCCTGGATTTTTGTTCAGAGGTTCCAAGAGACCCAACCAATCCTTGTCACCACTAAACTACTTCCAGTTGTCCATCATTTTGTTTTTCCTTGTGATAAAGTCTCTTGTGAGGAATATTGCATGCATTAGTGGCCTGTGGTTGATTAATTCTCTTTTAATTGCTATTGGCCACGAGTCATATGTCATATTCAATACAACCTGATTTGATTTGTTTTGATTTGATTATTACATCATGTACTCAAAATAAATGAATAGATGTGTAAATAATTTATTAGAAATGTATGTTGATAATTAATTACAATTAGACAAGTAAACATATCTAAGAAATTTCCACACAAATTAACCATTATTTTTCGAAGTTTTTGGATCTATATATGACCAATAGCGAAAGTTTGAGTTTGACCAACGGCTCCAGGTTTTTGAATGACAACTTTCGTGGACAGTATATATGGTAATGAACAAATTTTTTTCTGAAATTTATTTTATTTATATAATCTATGTCCATTTATAAGATGAAAAATATATATTACCTCTCCTTAAAACATGGGTCAAACAGTTGTCAACGACTAGGTCCAACATTATAACAATATTATCAGAATTTTATAATTTATTTTCCTTTTTTTTTTTTTTTTTTTTTTTTTTGGGAAGTTACAGCTAGGTTGTCAATAATGTAAGATTCTGAATAATTTTATTTTTGTAATACTAAAAAGTCAAAAATTTGAAATGGAATCTCATTTTTTTAAAATGAAATAATGGATTAAATATAAATAAGACACCTGTCGATGGTAAACCTTTTCTTAGCCAAAAAGAAATAACATCACGGTCAGAAAACAGCTAGCCAAAGAATATGTTACCTCTGCTGATGCTTGTTGGAATCATAAATAATCTCTATAATTGTTTCAGAAAAATCTAAAAATAATAATAGAGTCTGAAATACTAATTTTGTTATTTCCTTTTAATAGCAAAGTCTAGGTTAACGGGATAATAGAAAAAATTATAATCGTTTTCTTATCTTAGCTTTACCTAAACCGCATATAAATTAGATTTTCGATCAGTGGATAGATATCGAAAGAGCGAAACTAATCAAAGTAAACAATAAATTATTAATTGATCATATTTCATTAAGTTTTGATTTCTTAAAAGCAAGGTTAAATTTATAATAATTGATTTGTCTTAGTTTTTGTAAATAAAATTAAACCGAGAAGTTTATGAATTTTGTCTCTCTTTGGATGCTTAAATATATGTATGCTTATATAAGCTGTATAAATATTTATAGCAACTTCTTTAAGTTACCATTTTGTACTGAAATAATGAAAATTTTGGGAAAATTACACCTTTTAATCCATTTTTAAATGGATTGGTATATAAAAATATGTACATTAATTTCAACTAATGATATCATCAGCTTTCACACGAGGATGCTATAGGTTGACAATCCATGCATTTGAAAGAAAGAAAGTCGGTTCACTTTCTATATAAGTACTAGAGAAGGGTTCTTCATATCTATTAACAAGAGAGAAGGAAAAGCCTAGAGTTATAGTGACATCGAGATTGTGACGGCGAAGAAGATCGGAGATGTTCAGGAAGAAATCAAAAGTGTCTCAGCCTGGAGG